CCGCGCCGGCCGCCCCGCCCGGCCCGCTCACGTTGATGAGGAAGGACTTGCTGTTGAGCAGGTTGGAGAACTGGTACAGCGCCTGCTCCACCACGGGCCGCCGCGACTCGGGGATGTCCAGCTTGCCCGTGATCATCACATCCTTGTCGCCGTCCTTGGAGGGCAGGAAGAAGACGCGGTCCGTGTAGGTCTTGTAGTCTAGCACGGGGATGCCTGCCTCGTGCACGTCGCTCGTCTGGTCCTCCATCTCGATCATCAGATCTGGGGGGAGACGCGGCTCTGGCCAGTCTGCGGCCACGCGCCTCCCAAGGCCCCGCCCCGGGGCGGCCCGCACCCTACCCGTGAACTCCTTTTTGCAGCGGTCGCGCACGCTCTCCTCCAGGCCCTCCAGCTGGGACTTGATCTTCTCATACTCCCGCTCCGCCTGCTGGCTCTTCCTCCTGGGACACAGGGAGGCTCCTGGGACCTGGCCTGGGTCAGGCCGCGGGGCGGCTCTGAGCCTCTGCCTTGTGCTGGGCAGTGCGTGTGGCGGGAGGGCTGAGGGGGAGTGGGAGGGGCTGTAGGGGCCGAGGCTGAGGAGGGGGTCTCACCGGTAGCAGTAAACAGACACGGCAATGACGACCACCATGGGCACCATGACCAGCGGCAGGATGAGGCTGAGCGGCACGTCGCTCACACGCGTGTCGTACTCCACGCGGCCCAGCACCCACTCCCGCGAGCCGAACTTCACCTGCGCGGAGGGGAGGGCTCAGCACCGACGGTGCGGCTGAGACACGTGCCCAGTGCCGCCTGGCGCACCCTGCCCTCTGCGCCCGCCTGCCCGCGCCGCCCACACGCACAATGAACTCAGGCAGGTTGTGTGCGGTGTCTCGCTTCTGCCGCCGCTTGGGCGGGGGCTGCACCTCCGGGGGCTCGCAGTACAGGTCGGTCTCGGTCAGCGTCTTCATGACGCAGCACTCGGCACCCACGAAGGCCTTGGCCTCGTGGAGTGTCATCGCCTTGTTCAGGTTGGTGCCCTATGGGTTGAGAGTGCCACAGTGGCCAGGAGGGAATCAGGGACGTGAGGACTGGCCCAGCCCAGACCTCAGGTGACCCTGCGTGTGCTGTCCTCACCTGGGCATGGATGAGCTTGTTGACCTGCTTCCTTACGCCTCCCGTGAAGTTCTCGAAGGTAGGGTCGGCCACGTACTCAAAAGCCCCAGCCTCAGTCCTGAGCAAGGCGCGGTGCCCGTCCATCTGAATGAGCACTGTGAGATTGTAGGCCTCGGGCTCCTCAGGGACGGCCGGGGACAGGAACACAACCCTGGAGTCATTGTGGAACTCGTACTCCGTGCCCACAACCTGCAGGATGAGGCCCAGCCATCAGGCCACCTGGCACAGGCCCCACCCCAACCCAGCACGTCCCCAGCAGCCAGCGCTGGATCCGAGCCCCAGGTGGTTACGAGACTGACCGTTATGGGCTGCAGGGGTCCGGCCTCCCGCTGCCGCTGCCAGGACTGCAGGGGCTCGGCTATGACCACCATGGCGAACCTCTGGATCAAGCTGAAGCCCTGCCCTGTGACATTGATGCTCCGGCCGCCACTGGTTGGGGAGGGGGCTGCTGAGTGGGCACGGCCGGGCAGGGAGGTGCCCGGCCAGCTCCAGAGCAGGTGCCCTTCGGGGCTGGAGTCCCTGAGCCCGCTCTGCTCTTGGGCACACATGCAGCCCTCAGTGGGCACACGCCTGCTTGCTGTGGGGTGGGGTGTGCTCAGAGCACGTGTGACCATACTGCTTCAAGGGGGCCATGGGCTAGCCCATCGGGGTGCCTAGGAGGCAGATGATCTGGGGGTACAGTGGGGTTTTCCAGAGGCCCCCCAACACCCAGACCGGCTTGACCACATCCTGCCAAGCCCGGGAAGCAGAAGGAGCTGGGAAGGAGCTGAGGGTTGGCGTGGGGTGAGCTACCTGGCTGGCCCTGGGAGGGGACAGACAGGCCACACCTGACAAAGCTCCGCAGTGGCTGGAAGGACAGCAGCACCGGGTTCTCGCGGTAGGTGAAGGTGACGCCGGGGCTGGGCACGTGGGAGCCCCCATAGTGGACCTCTAGGGGCAGCTCCCCTAGGGCCACCTGCGGGCCGGTGACACACTGCAGCTGTGCCCCAAACTGCGTCCTGGAGGCGAGGGATGCAGGTCAGTGTGGGTCCCACCCTGGGACCAACCCCAGCCCCGGGCTCGAGGGTCAGCAGGTCAGGTTGGTGGCACAGCCGCCTCCGGGAGAGGGTCATGGCCAGAACACTGAGGACCAGGGCAGACCACAGACTTGCTGGCCTGCGGGTGACACCCACACTTTACAGGGGACGCCGCTGAGGGTCACGCGCACGTCTTCCTCGGAGCCCGTGTCCAGGTGCGTGCCACTGATTGTCAGCGTGGTGCCGCCCGCCTGCGGCCCCTGCTTTGGCTCCACGCCGAGGGGCTGGGGCTGCTGAAGAGAGAAGGAGCATTCAGGTCAGAGCTGGCGGGGGACAGCGCCTCCACTCCCTGGACCCTGCCTACTGTGCAGAAGGTGGCAGGGGCACCGCCCGCAATAGCCTGGGGGCTGGCAGCAGCGACCACATTCCCACCGTGTCCTTCCCTACCCGGAGGCCCAGCTGGGTCCCAGGGGTCACTCACATACCTGGTAGGTGAACTGAACGTGGGGAGGCGAATGGCCGAGCTTCCCGCTGATGTCCACCTCGACACCGCCCGTGAAGGGCGCCTCTGCAGCCTTGATGGCACACACGATCCTGGGTGAGCGACAGGCAGGGTGGGGATGCTCTCAGGGCCTGACTGGCACGTCTGTGGGTGTGCATCCTGGGCACTCACACACGCCCGGACGGTGTCCTTCCTCTCCATCCGCCCGGTCACCCGGCCCCCTGGGGTGGGGACTGACTCGGCCAATGGAGCCCTGGCCTTGGGCTGCCCACTCACCGGGTAGACACAGAGTATCGTCCCGGCTCAAAGGTGCAGTCCTGGCCAGCCACAGTGACCCTCTTGACATCATCTGCTCTGACTCCCAAATTCGACCCAAGGATGGTGACACGAATGCCCCCGCCCAGGGGGCCCGTCTCGGGCTGGATCTGAAATCAGCAGAGCTCAGCTGACCCGGCAGCCTGGGCCAGCGGGCCGTGCAGGTGGGCCGGGACCTGCCGCCTCCCCCACGCCCCGCTGGAAGGCCCAAGGGGCTCACCCTGGTGATGACAGGCGGCGGGCACTCGGAGGTGGCGTTGCTGCACAGGGCCTCGTACACACACCTGCTCTGCCCGCTGCACCACACGCACTTGTAGGCGGGGTCGGCGGCCAGGCACAGGCTGCAGTCACTGCGGCCGAAGGAGCAGTTGTAGAGGGTCACTGCAGAAGGAG